TTCCGGCAGGCACGAGGTGTCAAAATGTGGCACAGCGATTGACATGCATAGTGTGAACCTACTGCAGAAGGGGGAGAAACAAGCGCCATAAAACATGGCAGGAACTGTGGGTCCCGGCAACCAGATGCCTGCGACCACCTGTGTAACAGGAACTGGTCAAGCATAATGCAAAAGCGGAGCGGCTTGCGTAGCTCTGCCACAGCCCCGAACATCTCCCTCCCATCTGTATTGCACAGCTTGTTTTGGAGAATGCTTTCTCAACCAGATCTTGGCTGAGAGCTTCGCGACGAGTCACGCGTCGCGCCTCCCCTCCTCATGCATCGCCGTTCGTCGCCAGCGAGGATGAGTGGACGGAACATCCGAATAAGGCAATCCCCTCGAGAGGACTGACTTTAAGCGCGCATGTGAATCCTTGACATTCCTCAATGCCTGCATTCGCAGTCTGTCCACCAAAAGCCCCAGAAGACCTTTGCATGAGCTGTACTCCAAGCTCCTGATGTTAATGAACAGGAAGCCTATTCGACCTTTCGAGTATGGCTCATATGAGCATGGCATGTACATGCGCAACTCTCGTGCTCATGGTGATGTACAATTCAATGCTATGTGTGTGGGCTCGCCGCGCAGTCCTTCTCACTCCAAGCTTCCAAATTCACACTGGTAGAAAGTGCCGCTTTGCAAGACCCTCGGACCAGTCCTCGAAGGCCATGTGCCTCTCTGGCACCTGTGCTTGCGACGCTGCTTCCTTGGTACACGCTATGAACCATTGCTTGCACAGGACAGTCTTCAAAACGCGGACAGAAGCAACAAATCACGCGTTACTGTGACCATATCGGCGCCTCACTTGCCTTCACCGCCTGCAAGCTCCAAGCTACGGTTTCCTTCCGGAATGACATCTCCGCGTCGAGGTGCTGAAGTCATGCATGACTCCATGACATGAATTTAGATTTGGTGCTGCTTTGCTTGGCTTGATGCTTGAAAAGATGTTTACAGTATCGTGTAGTCATGCCATTGAAGGCGCAGCGGCAAACCTCAATCTCTGGGCCGAAACTTCTGAGTAGTTAACCAATGAGCAGGCAAGGCACGCATGCCACGTCATCTGTACCTCTTTCGAGGGCACGTAGTTTGGCCTTGCAGAATCTCGAAGCAATCCAAAAGCGCACAGCATGTAGCTTCAAGATGCTTTCCAGGTACGTTCCTGCAGATTCCCCTGCCCGCCCCCAAACTATCCCAGCCCGCCATAATCCATCAATGCTCACAAAGCCCCTCACCCCTGGCCTGGAGCTGCAGCATGGACTCCTTGTGCGCGACACTGTGAGTTTGGGCTCTGGCCATTGCGCAGAGGGCTACAAGGGGTTCTCTGGAACCTCCCTGAAGACTTTACCGTGCATTTGTTGCTTGTCGCACAGATTTCCTGCTGAATTCAGTGGACACCACACATGGGTTCAGGGCTGGAGCTTCAGGAACTCGAGGGTGCAGGCATCTAAACCTCAATGGCCGCTCCTCGTGCAGGGACCGCAGCCGCTGCAGCATGAAGTCGAACTCAGAGAAGGTCTCCTCCAAAGACCCCGATGGTTAAGCTTGCAATGCTAAAACGGGTTTGCTTCAAAGACGGGATTGATGGCCTCGTGCCACCTGCCAAATAATCCCTGCCGTGTGTTGAAGGCTTCAGGCTTTTGAAGAATTTAAGATTTGCGGGTTCAAGTCAGGGTTTTGGGGTTAGGGCCTAACTTCAGGCACGGCTTGGAGGAAACCCAAAAGATAGGTCGGAATCAAGCAACGCAGCCACGTCAGAGTATGATGCTGTAGACAAGAGGAGAGACATGTGTACTAAGGGATGTGTTGGGTCGCGCGTGGTGCTACTGTGCGTGGTGCCTTTTGCTGAGTTTGTTGTAGGGTGGTGTGCACGCTTGCCATGTACCGTATTTTGCGGGGTTGTCCCCATCAGCTGTTGCTGAGGCCAGAAGGTGCCGTGGCTAGACCTCACTGACTCACAGACCCCACAGCTCTACGAGCAGAACATCCCAGTGCGTCGGAGTCTTTCCTCCAGCGGCTCTGCAAAGGATGACTCTTTGGGAAACGCCATGACAGAGGCTGCCAGTGGCCGCTGCGCCTTGGAGAGGCCGTCAAGTGTTGTTGGGTCTTCTTACAGAGAGATGCGGCAAGCATGTCAAGGTCGGTTGCAGGTGGCTAGCGGCTATGGTGGCTTAACCATGGTGCAGAAACAACGAAGTGCCAAATCGCATAATATGGTCTCCACCCCCGACAGCCCCCGCCGCCCCTTCCCCGCCCAACCCCCCCCCCCCCCCCTTCCAATGGTTTTAGGGTTTGGCCCCAAGCCCCGACCCAACCCCTCAAACACCCAAAGGCAAAACCACCGTACAATACCCCACAGCCACACCACCGGGGGGAGGAAGTAAAACAATCATGACCCGAAAGCCCTAAAGCCTGCACCCCAATAGTACCTTGCGCTTTGAAACTTTGAGCTTTAAGAAGCATAAGTCCTAAAACCAGAAAAAAAACCCACGAGCCGTATGCCCCACATCCTAAAACCAACCCACGGCCGGAGGAGAACCTACGCCCCAAAACCCTAAAACCCTAAACGAAAACCCCCTAAAACCAACCTATACAACCACTGCACAGGGAGGGGCGGGGGTACCATGCCATGGGGGGGGGGGGATGGGCGGAGCGCCCTAAACCCCTAAACCCCTCAACCCCTCAACCCCTCAACCCCTCAACCCATAAACCCTAAAACCCTTAACAGTGGGGGGGGGGGGGGGGGGAGGCGGGTCTGGGCGACACTGCACCGTATATGTGTTAGCAGGACCCTTCTTAGCTTATAGCAAGAAGTGTCTGATGTCGGCCAGATCTTCGGTCAAGGCACCGCTTGGGTGGTGCTCGCGGCAACTTCACCGTGACCTGAGTAGCAACCAAGGGAAAAAAGGCCCCGCACAGCAGAGTGCTCGCAGTTCTCTAACCCAGGGCCCAGGGCCCCAAAGCCTTGTTTTGCAGCCAAAAGCTTTCACCCAGCTTTATCCCTTCAAGCCCTCTTGCTCTTCTATGCTCCTCTCTCTTGCTTGCGCAAACCTGCCTGATATTCAAATTCCGCAGGTCCCGGGCCGCAAGCAAGTCCTTCTCAAACTCCTCCCCTTACTCGAAAGGAACAGGAAGCTCCTTGAAGCCAATGCGGGGAAGTGTCAGCCACAAGCGCTCAACATGGCTTCGTCAGCTGCTGCTCCACCCTACTCTACCCCAGCCTTGGACCCCCCCCCCGAACCCTGAATCCAGTGCTGTTTTAGTTGCAGCCAAGCCATCACCTGTAACAGGAACCTGTAACAAGCTTGAGTGCTAATCAGTGGAATGTGAGTACTTGGTGGGCTGCGCCCCTATGCTCCCCTATTCCTACACCGAGCCGCACGGCTGCCAAATACAGTTCGGTGCTTGCATCCGCCAGAAAATGGCCCCTCCTAACAAGATCGGTCTCAAAAATTCAAAGTCCTTTCAACTTCTGTGCCCAGAAAAGGTTGCGCTGGCATGTTGCCCCAATTTGCCCCATCTCCAAATACGGTCCCCAGGACCCCAGTCGCGCCGCATGAGGAAGATTGCGCGGTCGCTCCTCAGGCACCTCGAAAGCCCCGATTTGCCCCGATTTAAGGGGCTTCGGCGGGCGGAGGAGGTCAATGTTCAGTTCGGGGTTCTACAGGCATCGAGCGTTTCACGACTTGACTCCAGGGCAGGACGTGAAAAAACGTTCTAGAAGGGCAGCAAGATTGCCGTGCAACTCGGGGTAAGCCCTGCTTGTATAAAGCCTAGCTTGAGCAAACTGGACAACAAACTCCCCAAGTGGCGATCTCAGAGCCGCTCCTTTCTGAAAACCGGCCAGCGGCTACATCGATGCTTGGGTCTGTTGGTTCGGGTTTGCAAGCCTCTCGGGGAAATGCTGCAGGTTTTAGCTTGAAAACAAATCCTGGGTGCTTGATTGCTACTCCCGAACATTCATGTGTTTGACTGTTGTTTGTTGCCGAATGTATCAAGCTCGATTCCGAAATCTAAAGCGAAGCCATCGGTCCACCGGATGCGCCACTTTTTCCAAATTCAGCAGGTCTCGCGGCTGCGCGCCTGTAGGCCGCATCTCGCATGATTACCTGAGAATACACTTACGAAGCGGGGCTTTGCTTTCCTGAGCATGACCTATTTCACCATCCATTTTTGACGTTGCCTCAGCTCGCCCAGTTGCGGTGCAAGAAACTTTGGCCCACAAACAAATCAAAAACAACAAAGTGCAGTTAAAGACGCAGACGCCTGATTTGGACAAACGTTGAGTGCTTATGTTGGTTTCGGTTTGAAGAGGAGTGGCACATACCTGGAAATACAGACGGGGTGTGAACTCGATTTGTCAATCAGCTGACAGGGCTGCAACTCATACCTGTTTGGCAGGTTCAAAGCAACAGCCGGAAGAGGATTAGGAATGACCCCTGGCCAGCAGCATGACCTTTCAAGCAACTACGGGCAACAGTGAGTGTAAGCCATATGCCATGTACTCCGAATATGTTGCAGTCTAGCAGAAGAAGTATTGACAGCATGTGCGCCGGGTTGATGAGAACATGACACATCCAGTGTCTTCGTTAGTGAGGCTGGATGGGTTGCTTGCATTTCCTTGCTGCGTCTATCCCTTGCAATCCGACTGTATTCAGTCAGACGTGTGTGTGTGTGAAGCAGGTGTACATCTGCAATGTTCATCACCTGCTGAGGGTTGCGCAAGGGGCATGGTGGCCTTTGAAAATTCAAGCACACCCGTAAAGTCGCACAAAAAGCACCGTGCCATCTGGGCTGTGCAAGCAAATAAACAATTCTTACTCACGATGTGGGCTGCAAACCATAACTACGTGCTTCGGACGGACCAGCACTTAAAGTCTTCTCAAGTCCCGAATCGCAGGACAAAGTACGGAGACCCCACGGCCCAACCCCAAATGCCAAGAGAACCTTGACCTTGCTACCATCTGCTACTGCAACCCGGCACAGCCCAAAACACTCGTCAAAACCTTGCCCTGATACTGAACACAAGGTTCACAAAAGACACCCTTAAGCCCTTTCAGCCCTGTGAAGCCGTATAGGAGGCTAAACGCAAAAGCACAGAAAGCAAATCGAGGCATCTCGAGGCCCAAGGGCTGCTGCTTGCAGTCCTCCACTTCGTCGGTCGGGGCCGCAGGAAGCAGCCGCTCATTCACAAACCTTTTTTGGGAGGACTGCGATGAGTTGCTCCAGTTCCATGCATGCCCTAAACTGGCCCTAAACCCTTGGACCCTCAACCACATGGGAGACCGACAATTCGCAGCCGTGTTGCTGATCCAAGCGCCCAACCGGCTCGCCGAAGTCTTCCTAGAAGGGCGTTTTTCAGGGTTTTTGAATGCTTTGGCTGAGCGTTTCTGAGGTCTCACGTGGTTTAACTTTTCATCCCCAACTCTCAATGCACGGCACGAGCCTGCAAAGATAGAAGCCGGGCGCAGATCATTTGCAAATACCGGCCGCAATGGTCAGAATCCAACTTGAACACGTCATAGAAGCCTCCGCTCATGAACAGGGGTCTACTTGGCGCTTGATTTGTTGACGTTCTCGGCACCGGAGCAAACCCTTGAACAACTCATCCTTTCCAAAAAATGCAGAACCCAAAACGGCAAAACCACAGAACAACGCTCTGTATCGAGCCGAGGGGCGATTGCACTGATTCGGCTTTTCCTGACGAGGGATATATCCATCCTTCATTTAACTCAGTTTTGGTACCACAGGAGATCTGGACAGTGAGCCACGAAAAGCTATGATGTGCGAAGTGGGTCTCGCGATGTTTGGATATACGTTTGCATCTGTGTGTGTGTGTGCGTATATAGCTCGCAGCCTACATTTTCACAGTCCTTGCCAGTGACCACGGACCAGGTGATGTCCTTGCCTCAGTCGCACCAGCAACTGAAATAACTCTCCTTGCATCCTGTGAATCCAAGCTGCCTCCTGTGGGAGCAACATAGCTTCCCACACCGCAAGTTCTAGATCCTGCAGCCTCTGATGTCGAACATCACCGAAAATCAAAATGCTACGGAAACAATGTCTAAATACGACGGTAGACTCTCGAAAAAACATGAAGTCGGGCTTGGCCACCTGCTTGCCAAGACTTTGGGCCATATCCGTACACATCAGGCCGACTGGACCTCGGCAAAAGGGCAAAAAGTAAAAAGGCAAGAGCCTGACTTTGTCGTGCAATTTTGAGAGCCCTCCTCCGCTCATTGAATGCTCATTGTTTTCCGGCTTGGACCCACGAACCCATGGGGCGAGGGCGTGAGGTGGGTTTTCTGAAGAACGCAGGGCACCTGAGCTCCCGGCACATCGAAGATGTCCCCGTGGCAGGACATCAGCATGCGGTCCTGAAGACTGATCTGGCTCCATAGGTTTAGGGCTGAATTTACAACCTAGAAGTTTACAAACAACAAAGTTGCGAACACCTTTGAAAGCACGCGTCTGCGATCTGCGCGACGTACAGGCTAATCCATTCCCCCTAATATTAATACCCCCCTAATATAAAAATCCCCCCGGCCCCAAATACCGATCCCGGGTCCGTCCCTATTAAAACCTGTACAGAGTTAGGGCGGGATTAGGGGGGGTGGAGGCCCTGAACCCTAAACCCTAAACCTAAACCCGAAAACCCTGGACCCTAAACCTAACTAAACCCTAACCCTGACCCCTCTCAAAAGGCTGCAAGGCTCTGACTGTTTTTGCCGGACTGTCTGTTCCGTGCTTGTCTGCCTGGCTTTCAGTCAGGCCTGCTCTGGGCGGCCTGACTGGCAGCCTTGTCTGAACAGCTAAGGGGTTTATGGTTTATGGTTTATGGTTTAGGGTTTAGGGTTTAGGGTTTACAGTTTAGGGTTCAAGGGTTCAATTAGGGTTTAGGGTTTAGGGTCAGGAGTAAAAGGGTCTATTTGGGGCTTCAGACTAAAGGGTTCTGGCTGCCAGACTGGCTGTAAAACAAGTGCCCTTTTGGGTCTGTCTGTCTGCTGGTGGCCGGCTCTTGTTCCTTGCAGGGCTACGACAGGTCTGAGGACATCCATTAGGGGGCTGACTATTTAGGTAAGGAACTCGAGCCGGCCACTAGCTGACTGTCTGTCCTGGGGGCTGAAAAACGTGCCTTAAAGGCATGTCTGCCTGTGAACTCTTTCGAGATCTGCTTCTTGACTTCTTTCTTGGAGGTGCCTGCAGCAATCATGCGGTCCACATCCTTCATCAGCTTCAGCTTGCCTCTGGCCGTGACATCTGCTCGCTTCTTGCGAAGGCCTGGCAAAGCCTTTCTGGCTGGGTTCTGCTTGCGACCCTTGGGCCTCCCACCCTTGTTCCTCGCCTTCGGAACTGCAGCCTGCATGCCAAGCCTGGCTGCAGCCTCTTCGGCCGCAGACTCCACAAGCTGCAACCTGGCTTCAGCTTCTGCTTCTGCTTTTTGCGAGGCTAAGGGTGGGCTGAGATTGGGCCGAGCTTCTGGACTCTTGGCCTTGCCCCACAGGTAATCCAGTCTGTAAAAGACAGGAATGTCACTGGGCATGGTCTCCTTCAACTCCTGAAGCTGCCTGTCACGAACTACAGTGTCCTGGCTGGAGGGACTCTGAAACAGCTTCTTAGGAGTGGGTGTCTGAAAGCTGGAGGGGCGCTTCAGACCCCTCTCTCTGCTCAGCTCAGGAGTCTCAAGCTCCTGTGAGGGCTGCGACCTCACTGCTGGGCTGATGTGAGGTTTCTTGCGAGGCTGCGAACTCTGTCTTGCTGAAGGCTGCGAGCTGTCTGCAAGACTCTCTCTCTCGAGATCGGGCACCTCTCTCTTGCGAGGCTGCGAACTCTGTGTTTGCGAAGGCTGCGAGCTCTCTGCAGGACTCTCTCTCTCCAAGTCTGCCACCTCTGTGCCTTGTGCCCCCAGCCTGGCAGCAAGCTCTCTTCTTGTGACCAGAGCTGTCAGCAACTCGGTCTGCTTCACCAAGGCCTCGACGAGGGCGTCCTGGCTGCTTTCGGGCTAATTAATTAGGTTGCCTCTGACTCAGACAGTGTGAGCCTCGTTGTCTGCAACCTCGGTCTGGTCGCTGGCCATGCTGCACACAGCCTCTCAATGCGGCTGGTCTTCTGCTTGAACTGTCATTCACTTAATTAAACACGTCTGATCTCTCTCTGGCCTGGGTCTGCAGACCGGCTGGGTCAGGCTTAAGCCCAGGCTTGGCTGCTGAGCCAGCATGCTACAATAAGGACGGGCTGGTTTCGCGGACAAACGATAAGAACCCCCCCTAATACTAAAAACCCTTCGGGGGTTTTTATACAAGGGGGGGGGGGCCTTTTATATTAGGGGGAACGGATTATCGACTTTCTCACACAGAGACTTCTGGCTCCGAGCCAAGGCTCGTTGCTGCACGAATACTTTGCGAGCTGCTCCACCGTGAGTGTGCCAACCGGCCTGAGTTAGGCTTGTGGGGGGGGGGGGAATTGCCGGGTTTGTGCGTAAGCTAGTGCCTTTATCGTAACCCACTCGTAGTCCACATGGTGCAAGCGATTGTTGCGGAATGTAGAAGGGCCGTTCTTCCGGCAATTACCTTTCGAAACGACTTGAAACAACGTGCAACCTGCTTGTCACAGCTGTGACTACCACCATCTGCAGCAGCAGCCATCGTAAAAGCAGGGCTGGGCATCTCAACCAGCAACAAATACAGCATTTCTTGCAACAAGCCCTGCACTACAATTGGACCACAGAAACAAACCGTAACCCCAAATTTGGAGCTCATGGAAAACTCTCGGGTGCTACGTTCTTCAGGAGCCCCGAAAGCAGCCATGGGATCATACAGTTTTGAGATGGGAATGACAGGACCATTCAGCTGGAGACGCTGTTTGTGGTCTGGCGGAAGCTTGGCAGCCTCGGCATGGGGGGCGAACTTGGCCCGAGAAGGGGATGTATCAGAAAACCCTACATTGGCCCTGCATTCCAGCACGCGCGTACGTTTGTTGTAAGATGTTGTCAGCACCAGCCTCCTCACCGAAACAAGCTCCCTAGCGAAGCCTCATGCAGCGACTCTTAAAGTACAAGAAATGGCAGCCAAAGTCCTGGAACAATTTGCTCTTCGTTCGCTATAGACTGACGATGATAACTTCACGCATGAAAAAGGGCCCCAGATTTCGGACTCATAGATGCACCCTATGTCCACCGCAGTCTCTGGAATGCAGTGGATGCAGCAGAAGTGCCTTTGGCATCTCCTCTTCTGTGAGGCGTTCCGGCACCTGCCGCACGTCCTGCATCTGAGCAAAACTAATGAGTGAGGTTTGGCTGGTCAAGTCTAACAATACCCACCCAAACTCTCCGCGTCTTGGATTCACTGTTGTGTTGACGTGATCTCTCGGGCAATGCAGGAGCATGCTGGGCCAATCGAATTGGAAGTACCCCCTATCAGTGCGCCTCAGCAGCTCTCTTGCGGCAAAGCTCCATTATGTCCTCCTTGGTAGTTCAGCGCAATATTTTCACAGAGGGCCGCCGTCCTGGAGAAACACTATAATCCTCCTGCAGCATGTCAAGAAGCCGAGAACAGCCACGCCAGTGCGAAATGTGAACAATGGTAAGTTCCATTTGCATCTCAAGGACTTTGATTCGCCGTCGCTGCTCCTGTCAGCCCGGAAAGTGGGGTGGTTGGGGTTGGGGCATTGGCATGGACAAGTGTCAGGAAGGCTTTTTCACTTCCTTGCAACAGGGCCAAGCGAGTGAGACATCGGCAGAACATGCTTTGAATCAACCTTCTCACATATCTGAAGAAGCTCGGACAGCCAGATCCAGCCAGTGCTTGCAAACCGATTCATGAAGTTTGCCACACGCATTTGGTGTAATTACTCCACCAAGAACCGTCCCAACTTCAGTCCATTGAATGGGCGACCCAGCACCTCCCCAAGACCAAATTCGAAGCCGAAGTGTTGGGTAAGACGCTGACTGTCAAGGAGCCCCACAACCCGCTGTAACTCCATGCCGGGGTCCTGTGTGGGGTTCATCTTCCCCATTTCTGGCGGCTCTGGGGGCGTTTGCTCCTCTTCAACGAATAGCTTGAGGTGTATAGGGCTGTAGACTTGACATTCGAGGAACCCGGAGTGGGCTTTGGTCGAGACTGAAGCTTCAGGCACGCAAACTCCATGGATTGCGGAGGCCTTTGTTGTGGCCCTGGATGCGGTTAGCACGGCTTTGTGTCGTGTAGTGTAGGGATGTATATCAGGCCTTACGCTGCTACCGAAGTTTCTGCCTGCCATTGGGGCTGAGCCTTGTGCCTGTCAAACCTGACCCCTCCAGCCCTCCAAAAACATGCGAGCACCTCCAATTTCGGAGAGGTCCACACGGTTCTGAGATGGTGGGGGCCGCGAGCGGAGTTTTTGTTTGTCTTTGTTTCACGTTTCACCAGCGCTTTTCTTTTGACAAATGGGGGCAGGGATTGACTGACTCCAGCACGCCACATCCGCACCTCCCAAAAGGCTTCACAAGCTCCCGAGTTGAAACTGTGGGAACCAAAAGCCTGAAACGGACAAACAAACCGTTCCGAGTTTAAGTCCTTTGGGGGGATGCGGAGGGCATGGGGTACTGGAGGGTCACGGGCTCTGAGGCGAGTCTTGGGTCATGAGAACTGTGATGGCCAGACAAGAATGCCCCAACTTCAGCCCAACTGCAGTGTCGCAGCGACCTCAGCTGAATTGTCGTCTGCGCGCGGCGCTTCCTCCTGCAGTTGCCAAGGCTTGACTTGAAAGTGTTGGACCGGTGGAGCTTCTCCGAGGAAGTAAACAAGACAGTTCACAGTCCATACACTCTCTCGCCATGATTTTGCATTGCGAAAAAACCGAACAGAGTCCGAACTTAAGGACGTGCAGCTACGTGGTCTTCTTAATTAGAGTCCGGCCTGCCTGTGGTTAGGCGGTTTCGGCAAAGCTTCCCATGGAAACTGTTGGTGCCGCTCCTCTTCAGAGTCTTCGATATTCGCAAACCTGCTAGCGGGTTCACGTCGTGACAAGAATCATCTTTTCCGCAGCCGCTCAAAGCTTGCGCAGGCGTGCTAGCCCTAACCCCAAGTTTGCACCACAGGGATTGCAAGTTCCTATAAGAGCATATGAAGCGTGTTTGCGGGTGGCTGCTTGCCTTCCGATGTGATGAGTTTTGGAAGCTTTGCGGTGCAGTCACTATGGTTTACACTGAATACGCACACGGCCCGCTGGTCTCCAGACTTTCAAAAAAAGAGGGTCCTGGGGGTAAGTGCCGCAGTCACAGTGTACTATCGAGCTGCTTCAATTCTAGTTGGTTGTATGTACAAGTCCCCCTAACAGTCCTAAGTCCCAATAGGTTCCAAGTCAATGCCCTGGCACCGGGAGTAGTCGTTGTTGTACCGCTTTGGGTCATGCTGCTTCGCCACCAGCTCTTGGGCAGCCTGTTGCCAAGGTCTGAAGCATGAGACGAAGATCCTAGACAGCCCTAACCATCAGAATCCATGACAGCAATTGCTGCGCCTGAGCCAGGGCCGCCGGCTTCGCCTCCTTAGCCGGAGCCCGACGCTGGCAGACTTGGCCTGGGAGGTGTCTTTGGGCTCTTTTGGTGTTCAGCCATTGGAACCCTGGGATCTTTTGAGGTTCAGACTTTGCGGTTTTGGTGATTCGCGGCATTCGCGGCCCTAACCACAAGGGCGAAATAGCTCTGGCGAGCCCGCTCACCTCGGGGCCCTGCCCATGCAGCCCGAAAAAGCGTCGAGCTTGATGAATTCGCTTCAGCGCATGCGCTGGCCAACGAAGGATTTTCTACTCCAACTGCCAGCAACACATTGTTAACAATTTCCGCCGTGTAAGCATGCTGACCAAAGACCCGGCTTGCACTTGCCCTTTCCCTGACTTCCCCTTCTTCGCTACATGCTCTGGGTATATGGGAATATCGGGGGAACTACGCCAAGCACGACATCATCAGCGAGAAAAGTTGCTGGGCCACTCAAAGCTCTTAGATTTGGTCTCATTGGGTGATGTCCGTCCCTCTGTTGTTGAAACTCGAGCCACGAAAAATGAAGGCCGAGGATGTGTGAGGTGACATGTAGCTCGGCAGCCCAACCGCGTGCATTTATCAGGGCGGCCAATTCGCCGAGACCCCAAGCCTCGACACTTCCCTTGCCAAGCACGCAGTCCTGGCCTTCGAGCGCCACTGCTGAAGAGTGCTGTGAAGTACATTTTCACAAAGTCTGCAGTGACTTTGGGGCTGGCACCCAGAGCACATCCATGGGCTTGATCCGGCCCAGCATTACCCTGCAAGGGCTGTGGCGTCGAGAAGTCGAGAAGTGTCGTTACAGTTTGAGTTTGCAGCGGTCACGATTTGCCGAGAAGTCTTCAGGGCCCGCCTTCCGTGCGTGCCTTCAAAGGCAGACATCAATGGCTCCAGGGGCCAGGGCCTCTGCAAACATCCCGTGGGTTCTCCGCTTCGGCTTTGGCTGCTTAAGCGGCGGCTTTTCGGAACTTTAAACCTCCTCCACCCAACAAGACCAGAGCCGAAGACTCGAGGAATAGAAACTAGCTCTTCGCCCTCATTCAGGCTTCACCAAAAGCCCGGCACCAGGCTGACGACCTTGCAAACAATTTGACATCCAACTCTTGCAGATCCTGCTTTGAAGTACCCTGCCATAACAACCACCAGCCCAAGCTTAACACACAAACGCAAGCGGCTGGACGAACTTGTTGCTAAGACAACTATCCGACCCACTGGAAACCTTGAAGCCCCACAGCGTGACATGCTGTGCCAATCGGCCACTCCGTCACCATGCTCTCCACGAGATCTTCGAACTGGAGATGTGCTGCCTAGGCTGGCTTTGATGGATTCACGGGGCCTTGACGCATCTTTTCAGACAGCACCAGCTTTACGTCCAAGAGCATGACGCGGAGTAAGGACGAACATCGCAAACCCGCACACTGGAATACCCAAAGCCGGACCCATGCTCCTAAACGACCCCCCCTCTTTTGACCTCTTCGCACTAAAGGCTACCAGCACAAAAAGCAAGCCAAACATCCAGACCGAAGTTCTACTCAGGAAAGAGACCATGGAAAAAATTGGTCCAACATTCAGATGCTAGGCTGCTAATGTTTTCATGTTTGCACCAGCGAGTGTTCGGAGTGCACCCAGGCCACAGAAGCCCCTCTGGCGAGGCCCATCAGCAGGTCCGCACCTCGTCAGGCAGTGAGGGTGGAACATGGGCTTTCGATGCTCACAGGGCCACATCTGCAAGTGATCCCTGAAAGAGCACGGCGCACATGCCTGATGCACGACATTGCACGACCTATAGCCTGCACAGTTACCCATCGCCCGGGTCAGCAAGGCGAACGCAAGCTCTGACGGCATGCTAGAGCTAGGGTTTCAGGCCATGCGGTTGAATAATTCCGGAAACCACAAGACAAATGTCTGACAGCATGAAGCGAGGTGCAGCTGGCTTCACCGCTTCGAAGCTCATCTGCCTGGGCTGGAATTCGACATCTAGGTTGTGCATGCAGACTAGTGACTAGTGACTGCCACTGAGAGAAGCATTTCTGTCCCGCAGCTGCACCAACAAGTGCACAACGACAAGACGCGAGCCACTGCATCAACATCCAGTCTTGACACGTCAAAAACAACTTTACCATTTCGGAGGTGTGGAACTTGAGGAGCCTCAGTTCAACTGATGTCCAACTGGAACAAACTGACCTTCTGAGGCAAATGCCGCCTGCTTGGCGAGGCTTCGCGTGGTCGCGCAAGGCCTCAACAGAAGCTCTTGTGCGATGACTTGGCGAGGGTGAGGACGGTGAAGCAGCGGCGTGTGGCTCCAGCACGCTTTAATGATTTTGCCAACTGAAAATCATTCAGAGCTCAGCAGAAAAAGCCTCAAAAGGTCAAACTCGAGAACGGCTTGGAACACAATACCGGTATCGATTCCAGGACTTGGGCAGCTAAGGACGAAGGCCAGACATGCACGATATACTGCGAAAGCGGCTGGCTCAGTAACATTCAAAAGCCAGTCGTGGGCATGGGGGCTGTTGCGGATCAAGCTGAAGCGACATTTGACACTTAATAAAGTGCATATATATATATATAGTGTATATCTATATATATCTAAAGACAGGAAACACAAAGCTATCTGTATACATTACATTGTACTGTTGCTGAGCACCGAGGCGACACCATTGCACCGCGAAGCCTGAAGGTGCGTCTAGGTTGGGTTGCGGATGCGCTGGCGCTAGTTGCGTTTGGGGTGTAGGGGACTGCCTTCCTGGGTTGCGTTAGGGGTGCACCTGTGCAGCTTCTAGAACTTCTAGAGCTTTTGATACTTTTGAAGCCTTAAGGTTTATACTTTAGAACTTTGTGTGTGTGTGTGTGCGCGTGCATATGCGTGCGGGTGTCTCCTCCGAAGGTGGGACAAATTTGTCCGTACTTTCGGGCTCTTGTAAGCTCGAAACCTAAGCCCTAAGTCCTAACAAACACGAAGCCCCACATCCTGAGCACAAAGCCCTTAGTCCCAGACCCCCTCCCTTAACACCCTCATATGAAATCCTGAAGACTGACGGGCGTCTTTGCCTGTTAAAGTGTTTATGTGCTAAAGCTTGTCTGTGTGTCTTTTTGATCTTTAGATGCTTTTAGTAGTGTTGCAACCTGTAAAACCTGTGAAAATGCATGGTTTCAAATTAGAAGCTGAATCAGCTTCTAATTTCGAAGTCTGAAGCCATGAATCAGCAGTTTCATTGAACACCTTATCAAGCATGACAAGCAGAGCCTATACAAATCTAGGTCAAGCGGGTGGCACGTGCAGCGCCCGCCGGCGCTTGTCCTCTTCGCTGCAAGGTGCCTGCCGCACCAATCTTGCAGCAAGGTTTGGTGCCTAGGCCTAAGTTTCCCAGGCTTGGCAAGAAACAGGTTCCGCATGGCCTCAACAGAGAGCCCTGAAATATCCTGGAATGGTGGGGACAAACTTGCAACTCTTCTCTGTTTGGAGGAGGAGGGGTGCACAAGACAGACGGCGGCATTGAACTTTGCAAGTATGGTACTTCTAGGGTCTCTAGAAGAACTTTTCGCCATCACTGCATCCTGCACCCTCAACAGACTGACATGAACCCAGCATACAAGTAGCACCAATGCCCTCGAAATGGCCTTGAACAGGGCGTAGGCTGCAGAAGCAACCACATCCTTTTGAAGAAGCTTTTGACTTAGCTTTGGTGATGCTTCGAGGGACTAACAGTTTGCACTTCCATCACTTCATTTGGGGCTGGGCTCGTTCTTACATGGGGAACTTCTAGGGCTGATAGCTTCCAGAACATGGTGCCAAGCATCTCCCGTCTGTCCTTCAGCACGGGGACACGACCGACCGACCCGACGTAAATCAGGGTTCTAACTGTTCCTACTGCTCGACAGGCCAATCCATCAGGACGCAATCATCCCACCCTAAACCCTCCACCCCAGAAACCTCCCTTCCAGGACATCAATCGCCAAACTCCTCTCAAGGTCACACCCCGCTCTGAATACACCGGCAGCGTGCCACATCTGAGAAGGCCGCTGGAGAGGAGTACCGGAAGGACGCACATTCGGCAGGCTCCTCAGTATCAAGATGGACTGCCTGGCCAGCAGCTTCCACCTCTAGAGACTCTAGGGGCCCAAGAAGCGCCAGGTCGCTGCATGGGCTCTGCAAACGGTTCACAAATGGTGGTCAACCTAGGGCCCAAAAAAAATGTAGCAACTTGCCAAACCATCCAAAGCCCCCTCTCCTCCTGGACCTGCGCCAGGAAGTCGGCCTTGATCGCGTTTTACTCGCTTAGGGAGCTCAGACTTAGCTCCGACTGCTTGCTGACTCGAGAGAGAGCGAGAGCGCGAGACACTCCCGGAATTAGAAGCACTTTAGAGATGCTTTCGCTCCTAACAGAAACCCTTACCAGAACTCGGAGCGCGGCTGTTTGCACACGCAGCTTGCCCGAACCTGTGTGCCGAGAACGTCGCATCTCCCGGCCGGGCCATGCCCGAATAGGAAACCACACCGCCTCCCCCCAAGCCTGGTTGAGCCATGGAAAAACACCAAGAACTCCCAACTTCCCACGATGTGAGGTGCCTGAAGGCGGCACGGAACTGGGCAGATCCTTGGACAAGGAGAATTTATGCTCACGTTTTGTGGCTTCCGCATCTTTGAGCTGGCCATAGCCTGCTATTGTCAAGCCGGGTTGCCTCTGAAGACGACCGCACAAGGGCAGATGCTGGTCGTGCTCGCAAGCAAGGCCTCCCAGCACCATGCCAGCGAATTAACAGTGAATTCAGCGCCGACGGCCTAGGGATGCCTAGAAGCGGGAGTCTAGGGCATTCTAGGGCCTAGGGCTTCATTGAGGTTTGAGGCGAGATCTGAGAGGAATTGTGGCATGTTGTGTCGTAGTGTGGCGTAGCCTGTGCGGTTCAGGACCTGGGCGTTGTGGCAAACTTTCGGCAACTGAGGCGGTGTGAAATGATATCAGGTTGCACCTTCCATGCCTGTGAAAACGCCTACAGGGCTCACGGTTCCACTCGATATGCCCAGCATGTGAGATGTATAGGTCAGTCCGGGTCAGTCCTTGGCGCACCTCAAGTGTAGAAGGCTATGTATACAGCCACCCCACGGAAAAGACCTTGGTGCCTCAGACCTTGAAAGCCGAGCAGGAGATTTCCACAGCCCTTCAAACAAAATCCTTGAATCTCCGCAATGCCTTCAGGAGTCAGCCTGAGCTCTGCAACAAGTTCAAACCCCTCAACTGACATTCGAAGGACACACTGTGCCTTCGGATCAGGCGAGCGGAGAGCGCACAAGGGCTCTTCCATGCTGCATGTAAGGCCATCAAGGATCTTGCAGCGGGGGTTGAAGCTGTTGGCTCGAAGCTTGGGGTTCAGAGTTCAGAGGCTTGTGCAAGTTTATAGGCTTTGCAATCTCACGACTTGGACAAGCGCCAGAATAGTGCAGTACGGTGTCCAATGGTGGGAAGGAAACAAGGCGTAGGGATTCAACAGATGATTTACTATGCGCAATTCGAGGCAATTTGGCATTGAGCGCAACTGCGATCTCCAGTTGTTGGCGTTCGAAGCCTGACGGCTGCTGAAGGTACCCTTGGTTTTCCTCCGAACTCGGACTGCAAGGATGGAAGCCCTTGCAGCTTGACATTGCTCGGAAGGCTTTCAAAGGTATTCATTTTGTGTCCGTGCGGAGCAAGGCTCGTCATCCCCAGAACGCCACGAGCGGTTTCCGCTCTGGCGCAGGAGCTGCGCAGCAAGCTTGCTGGGCCTGCACGAAACTGCACGAACAAAGCTGAATAGACTACTGTAAAGTTTAATCATGATGACAGTGGCCCTCGTCTTCTGGAAATGGCGGTTGCTTCCACCGTGACACCATGTGGCATTTTCTTACCCTGGATCAACCCAGTACACTCACGCCGACATGAGACCTACTCAGAGCCAAAGAATTGATGCCAATCCCGAGCAGCATGCAAGGCACACGGCCCAGGCAAGCCCGCCCTAGGGCCCTAAACGCACGCTAAATACATGAGAATCCGCCTACTACAATTCTCAGGGCTTTGCACATGTCTCAAGGAACCGCGGCCCTTGAAACCTCTGCTTGGATGAGGCGAAGGCCTGCAACGAGGCCTTGTGACCGTGGGTCCTGAGACATGTCCATTCTGGTCACAGACCAGCGCTTGGGTCTTCCTGCATGATGCCAGCTGCAATCGTCATATGGCAATGGCAAGACACCTATCAGCAAACAATCTTTGCGTAGACTCGCTGTTAAGCCTGCATGGCTAAAACCTGCAGGAAGCCTCATGCGTCCGCTGGCGATCCGATACCTTGCCCCATGCCATAGTCCACCGGACTCATTTCCAAGATGTGCGAGAGTGCTCTGCCCTCCGGTTCATCAGCGTCTCTTGTGGTTTGGCGCTTGCCACTAAAGCATGCAACCTGTTCTCTAATTTCATTTCTAATGCCCAGACCGGCCCAGACCTATGCAGCTGTTGAATGGCAAGTACGGACATGGAGCAAGCTGGCTCGAATGCGGTTAACGTGAACATTAATGGGAGCAACCCAGGAAGGTTCTTTGAACTTCCTTCAAGGCATCCTCAGCAAGATTCCGGAGAGCGCGTCTTTAGTTTCAAGATTCACGAGCATGTCTACTGAGTGCTTGTGAACTTTGCACAATGTTTGGATACTTCTTTGCGGGGGTGGGGGGGGCGATGGCCCTCCCAGAAGTCTCAAAGCTGAGGAAAGAGCCTCATGGGGGCAGGACAACTCGCTTGCTACTGCTGCATCGCTGACATGAGGGATCTTTATGATAGATACGCTGCCCTGAATCATTGAAAGCGCAGGCTTCCTCAAGAAGGTCAGCCTGGACGGTTGGTGCTGATAGTACACAGAACCGGAAGTTCAACACGATTGCTTGCAGAGTCGAGTCTGTAGGTGAAATGTGGCATGCCCGTCACCACACATGGCAAGCGATGCAGCAGATGCAGGCTTGCATCAGCAATCTACCTCATCTCTGCTGCGTGCCTTTTCCGGAAGCGGCCGCGACTAAACGGCAACACTGACATGAAGACAGTGCCTCCAAGCTAAAAATGAAGCTGCGTTATTCCATGGAGTATACAACCATTACAAATCTCGCCACCGCAACAGCAACCCCCAAGCGATCCACCTGACTTGTTTTTTCTTATGCCATTTGCGCGTACTTGGCCATGGTGTCAGTAGCAGGAGAACTAAACAACTGCAGCGGAACAGTCAATTGGTAGCTCATAGGATGTCAACGCAGGCTTCCAGGATTCGTCATCAAGTTCCCAAATAAGCACGAGAAACGTAAAGGCACGTCATGCTTGCTCGGAGTCAGGCTAGGATTCTTTACCCAGGTTCGGGCCGCTCTCGCCGTCCGTACCCTTGCACCCCAGACCTCGAAAGGCAAGGTTGGACGGCCACAGCCCCGCTCTTCAGAAGCATTCCTCGAGGCTGTCGAGGAGGTTCGAGAGGGGTTGGCCATTTTCGTCGAGGTGCTCCGCCCCAGCCTGCATAATCACTGAGACGAACAATCAACCGATAATCAAGCCTTCTCGAAAATCATAAAGATTTCGAAGAAGTCTTGACATGGGCCCAGGGCGTGACAGCTTGATCATGAACACCCGGTGTCGTGAACACCCGGTGTGTAAAACTGTGTGCGTCCACTTGATCGCAGGAATATCGCAAACCCTTGACAAGTCTCAAGCTCTTGCATGAGAGGGCAAGCAAAATTCGTGCGTCCAATGCTGCCTGCGCACCGTCAGACTGAAAAGCCCAATACGGAAACCGAAATGCCCAACTTACCAAAATAGAGAAGCCCAAGATCCGGTCAACGGAGCCTCGTCCTCAGAGTTGCCATGCTCCTGCAGGCACACTTTTAAGAGCGGCGTGTTCAAGGTTCAATAACACTGGAATTGCGACAGCTGGCTGTGATATCTTTGATGGCATTGATGCTACATCTCGCCTCCCCGGGGTCATAAATGCCCATGGCCGCAATGTCCTGGCAGATGCCATGGTGTCCGCGATGGTCACCCAGATTCTGAGGTGCTTGTAGAAGATGCTATGCTTAGACTTCTGGTGTGCTTTTTTTGTTTCTTGGGAGTAACGACCATCAAATTTGGTGGTGGGCTCAGCTTAAACTAGAGCAACGAACATGTCATTGAGTACATTGAAGAGCACAACATTACCACCATCATCTTCTCTGATGAACTGCCAAGACCGGCTGAAGCAGAACGACAAACTCTGAAATGTTTGGGAAGCTGTTATGGGGCTGTTTGGAATGCTAGGAGTTTTCGGCATCTCTGCAAAGAGCCCATCCCTTGATTTGCGTTGTTGATTCGGTTCTGATGCAGGCATGGTGGGGTCTCCATCGAGTCCACTATTGTTTGGCTGAGGTGAGAAGTCCTCTCCACAATCCAGAACTCCTGCAGCTGCCAGGTCCTTGGTCAGAGGGAGCTATTTTGCAAACCCTTCGGGCTTCTTCTGGAGGATCTTCTGGAGGACTTGATCAGCGAATCAGGAAAGTCCTGCAACTTGAGGCACTGCAAAAGGCAAGGTTTTGGCACTGCACTGCAAGGATTGGAAAGTATCCAGTAACACTGAGGTGCCTGGAAAACATGTACAATAGAACTGACTAGAACCACATCACACAAAAGAAACCCTGAGGCTGCAACATCGTCCAGGACCCCAGCTTCAGCCAAATCCTTGGTGGAGCTTGTCTCGCTTCTCTCGGCGTTTGTTCATTGTTCAGGACGACATGGGGGCTACGACTGTGTTTTACTGGGGGGGGGGGGGTGAACGACTACTACAACCACCGGCGACCATCAGGAACCATCATGCGAGTCCTTGCCGGACCCATGTTCGCAAAGCAGCGCAACAATTACAAGTAGTCGTCGTCCTGGACTTCTGTCGCCATGCCTTTCGTCAACTCAACATGTGTATTTCAGGCAGTGTTCTTCAGAGGTTTTGCTCTGCAACCTGTGGGAGAAAGAATCGCATCAGCAAAAACCAGGGTGGCGGCATCAGCTTCCATGACGCCTGCGGCCGCAAGATCCTGACGGTTCCGGGGGGCTCTTGGGATGGCAGCCCTCAGAAACTTTCGGGGAAAGTTGCCTGCATCCTGATCCATTCTATTGGATCCACGCCTGGACCTGAGGCCGCGACACTGAATCACTCAAAAAGCTGCCCTAGCCCCTCTACATCCTTTTTTTGAAACTAGGGGGATCTGGGCTCAGGTCAAAAGCATCCCCAATGCCATAGTTTGGGCCAGTTGCCAAGTGGTGCCTTCCATTTTGGGTTGAGTAGGGTGCGCTTTTCCAAAAGTCGTAAAGTTGCGCAAAATGCTGACCCGCTGGCTGCTCAGAGAGGCCTCGACATCATCCAGGACTCCTGCCGCCGCAAGGTCCTTGGCGAGAGGCTCTCCTTGAAAATCCTGTTGAAACTTGCTCAGTCATGTTAAAGTCATGTTAGGGCAACTTTGACCTCGAACAAAGATTTGCATGACAAAGCCGGTATCAAGTTGGGCGTCCCAGTCCTCATTTCTATGGGGATTAAAGGAGAAAAGACGGTCTGGGCTGATAGGCTCATGGGGTTCTCGAATCTGGATAAGTGTGACAGTGGTTGGAAATGACACCATGGTGGGGGGCCTTCGGACTTCAGTCTAAATCCTGCGATACAAATATGTTTCGACTTCGGCATCGGACATCTCCTCACCTGCGAGGCGCGGGCGTCCCCATCTACAACACCAGCGGCCGCCAGGTCCTGACAGGAGCGAGAAGCGCCATGAGAGCCACTACAGAATTTTTTCCTAAACCGGACATCATTTACACCCTCAAATCTGGAATGACCAAGGCTTGACGTTAAATTCCAGACAACTGAGTCCGCGTGGGTGACCGCAGATTGGGGTCTCGGGATTTCTGGAATGCACAGTCGGACAACTAGGCACGGGACTAGCCAATGGTTCACAGCGGCCCTTCCGGGATTGAAGTTTGGGTATATCGAGGTTTCGCAGACTATGAATATCCTGCATTCTGGCTGGCATCAAACCCACTTAGCTGTGGAAAGCTTGCTAGAACCATGCACCAAATCTTGAGCACCCAATCTGAGCACGCCTCAACCCTAGACTTGGCCCCTCCCCGTTCTTTTGCGACGCTGTGCACACTTCAAGGAGCTGGAGCCCTCGTAGGTTCGAAGAAGACGTCAGTCGGCAAATTCGGGGCTGGTGCCATTCTCTGGCAGTGTTGGGGGTAGGGCTTGATTTTGAGGTGCACGTGCGTGTTGTTAGGGTTGGGGTGGCTTGGGGGCGGCGTTGAGGGTTTAGGATTGTTCTACCTTTTTGACGTTTGTGACTGAATGGTCCTCTTCGATTTGTCGAGGATGCTATGCACAATGGGCCAGCAAGGGAATGTCTGCTTTGCTTGCAAGGTCCGCTGGCCGATACATGATTCACATCAGCCGATTCACATCGAGATCATGGCAACAGCCTGCCAACCGCTGACTCGGAGTCCTCGGAGCTCTCTGCAACAATGAACAAAAACAATGCGGTGTGCGGGGCCTGCATTAGCTGCATCGCCTAACCTCATTGAACATTTCCCTCGGTCTTCCTCCTGTGCATGTGCGTGCCTCTCCATCGCTCTTAGCCTCGTTCTCTCCTTCTTCGTCTTCTTCTTCTCCTTTTCTTCTTATTCTTCTTCTTCTTCTTCTAGAGCCCCTCCCCCAAAACCGTCTGTTTATTTCTTTCTCTTTCTGTCTCTGTCTCTCTCTGTCTCGCTTGCTCGCGTGTGCAACTGACTGCTGCCGGCAGTAACTACTTAAACTCTCAAATGCAAAGCAGAAACCCCGAACACACAAAACAACAAAGCATGAGGGTCTCCAGAGGTCTTCTGGTTCTGGGCAAGGAAGTCTGCCAAGCTGCGTTACGGAACCGTGGACTGGGTAAAATGACTCAGCTACGTGAAAATGTTGCTACAATGTTACAATGGAACCGCAAACTCCACCCCAGCACGACAAAGCGTCATTCTGCGTCATTCCTCGGACATGCTCTCCAACCTCTGCCGGATCAGCTCTTCCAACAGCTCCTCGGAAGGAGAACGTGACTCTCCACCTAGCTGAGACCCACAAGCTACAGCAGTGAATATATATATATATTTTTTTTTTCTCAGTTTGCGGACAGGTGCTATTGACAAAGGGCAAAGCCCTCTTGCTGCAATACCGAAGAACTCGTTCCGTCAAGTCTATGGGAATGCCAATCTTTATGATCCATGTTCTGGTTCAGTATTGCAGCGGCGAGGTGCCAGCCAACGCAATTTTATTGTTGCGGCAAGTACAAACTCTCGGCCACTGCGTCGTGCAGGCACTTCGGCAACAAGAACACTGGATACCTTGAGGCATGCCGCTCAAAACAAGTCTCTGCAACAAACCAGGCTCGACTTGTTGGCCAAGAATCTCTGGGCACTTGCACTTGTAAAGCATGCCGTTAAAATGGCACGTAGGTACATTCGCTGCTACGTCTCTGCGGGGTGGGGGAACGTTCTGGATGAGCGTTTCGAGTGAGTGCACCCCCGAGAAGACCAACTGAGCTGGGAGTTTCTCCAGAACAGTCGCATCATGTCACATCAACCTCCTATCTGCAGGGTTCTGCAATGTCGACGTTTCAACATTGGCATGAAAGACTCCACAAGAAGCTGCAAGGGCAGTCTCGCACAACCCGGCAGACATGGCTCGTTTCTCCTGAACGACCAAAATCTGAATTAACTTGCAGCTGCATTAGCACTTGGTTTGCGGGCATACTGTGCAAAGAGAGGGTTACAGCATTCTGATAAAACGTTACAGGTTATAAGAACAGCAGCCTCAGCAATTCGGGTACTCTTCACTTAATGGTGCAGCCTTCACTCAGTGCAAGCGACAAAGTGATGCTCGTAGAGGCGCAGGCTCATGTCCATCAGGCGCTCATCGGGTGTCTTCTTGCGCAGCTCTTCGAGGGCACCTTCCTTGGCCTCCTTGTGCTGTAGCACCTTGTCTGCCACGGCCTCGTTATGCCTGGTGGCCTTGGCCGAAATCTCCTTCATCTTCTCTCCGCGGAGGTCAGACTTCTTCAAGAGAGCCTGCTGTAAGCGCTCGCGAGCTTCCTCGGCAGTAGTCTCGCCTTTCAGCTTCGACGTGTCCTTGACCTCGATCACTTTTTCAATGTGCTCGGCAGCCTTCTTCTTGATGCTCGCAAGCGCACCTTCACGGTTCTCGCCAGCTTTCTCCAGCTGCTGCTCCAACGTCTTCTGCTTAGCTTCGGCGGATGTCTTGAACTCATCGCGAACACGCTGAGCAGCTTCCTTCTTCTGCTCGTTTGCTTGGCGGGCCTTGTCAGCTCGCTGTTCTTTGAGCAGATGAACAGGATTGCGGGTGCCATGAGCACCAAGAGCACCAAGAAGTGTCGGCAATTGGTTGCTGGATTTTTTCTCGTAAGACTCCAGGCGAAGGCGTGCCGCAGTCTTCAACTTGTCGGAGCCGGGGCTTTTGATCTGCACCTCGAAGGCAGCACCGCACTCCTTCTCGGCGATTGTAGCGATCTCGGGGGGAGCCATGGCCGGCGGGTGGTTGAGGCAAGAGATGCACCGACTTGATATGCGAAGAGCTGCTTGCAGCCAGTTCCCCTTCAAGCCTCGACTATAAGAGCGTGAATTAGCTAATGAATTTGAATCTGCACATGCGCTCCGAACCCCCAAGCCCCAAAACGCCCAGACCTTCAATCACCCCTCGACATCGCACATCCTTTTGCACCGAGCCTGCAAGCCCTTAAGATCCGTTCAGACCTGAACCCAGCTCGTTGAGACATGCTGCACGCGTATGGTGCTCGAGCAAGATGCGAGGTAAGCGAACCAGATGATCGCCGATCCTGACCTGAGCTCACGAAACTGGCAAAAGGAGGCGTGGGCTGCAGGGGCATTGGCTGGAATTGGCAAAGCGGGTCTGAAAAAACACGCTCCGTTCTGTGTTTGCTCCTAAAGCTTCAGTATATTTCAGTATCGTCTGCTGTTAATGCGTCACAAATTCGTATTTTTGGGCATGCAGAACCTGAGCCAAGAAAGTGACCCTAAAGACAACAACCCTGGTACTGATGGTACAGGAAGCCGAAGCTTGTTCCGGGCCGAAGTTCGCATATATGCATCATCTAAACTCCAGTCCCACTTCCTCACCTATTTACTCACTGTCACTCGAAAGTGGCTCACCTTTTTCGCACAAAAACCCTTCCAGAATTCTGGGTTTCTCGTTTGGTCTCTCAGGCAGGTGCCGGGAAGATTCTTGCGGGAGAAAAAGGATGAGCAAGGGAGGGAGGAGGTGGGATGAGGAGTGGAGAGTTGTGCAGGAATCGAGAGCGACATTGAAAGTTCGTAAAACAACTGCAAAACAAAAAATGGTATCTAAAATGTGGTTTATAACACCAAAGTCATGCAT